TGAATCCAAAGAGGTTCTTTGAGTATATTAAAGAAAAAAGAATAACTAGAGAGAGAATAAGGCACCTCAAGGACCAAAGTGGACATATATGTGTGGAACCGCAGGAGCTAGTACGAGGTCCTCAACGAATATTTCTCATTTGTGTTTACTGTGGAGAGAGACATAAAGACTTGGAAACTTGGGGAAGTTAGTACTAATATCTTGGGGACAGTCCATATCACAGTCAAAGAGGTGTTCGAAGTATTAGAATGTATGAAGGTGGATAAATCTCCTTGTCCTGATCAGATATATCCAAGAAACCTGCAAGAGGCTAGAGAAGAAATTGGGGGTGCCCTGACTGATATATTTGCATCATCGTTAGCCACTGGTGAGGTCCTGGAAGACTGGAGGGTAGTGAAAGTTGTGCCCTTATTCAAGAAGGGCTGCAAGGAAAAACTTGGGAACTGAAGACCAGTAAGCCTAACATCTGTGGTAGGTAAGTTACTCGAGATGATTCTGAGGGATAAGATATACCTGCATTTAGAAAGACAGGGTTTGATTAGGAATAGTCAGCATGGCTTCGTGCATGGGAGATCATGCCTCACAAATTTGTTAGAGTTTTTTGATGAAGTGACCAGGAAGGTTGATGGGGCAGGGCCATAGACGTAATCTATATGGATTTCAGTAAAGCCTTTGATAAGGTTCTGCATTGGTAGGCTTTTCTGGAAGGTTAGATCACATGGAATCCAGGGAGAGCTAGCAAATTGGATACACAATTGGCTTGATGGTAGGAAGCAGAGGGTAATAGTGGAAGGATGCTTGTTGGACTGGAGGCCTATGACTAGTGGTGTGCTTCAGGGGTCAGTGCTGGACCCATTGCTGTTTGTTATCTATATCAATGATTTGGATGAGAAATGTACAAGGCATGATTAGTAAGCTTGCAGATGACACTAAAAGGTGGTATCATGGGTAGTAAGGAAGGTTATCAGAAATTGCAGCAGGAACTTGAACAGCTGGGAAACTGGGCCGAGAAATGTCAAACAAAGTTTAATATAAATAAGTGTAAGGTGTGGCATTTGGAAAGTCAAATCAAGGTAGGAGTTTCATAGTGAATGGTAGGGCCTTAAGGAGTGTAGTGGAACAGCGGAACCTTGGAGTTCAGGTGCACGGTTCTCTGAAAGTGGAGTCACTGGTAGACAGGGCAGTGAAAAAGGCATTTGACACACTGGCCTTCATCAGTCAGGGTATTAAGTATAGAAGTTGGGAAGTTATGTTGCAGTTGTACAGGACGTTGGTGAGACCGCACTTGGAGTATTGTGTTCAGTTTTGGTCACCTTGCCAAAGGAAGGTTGTTATTAAACTGGAAAGAGTGTCAAAGAAATTTACGAGGATGTTGCCACAACTCAAGGGACTAAATTATGGGAAGAGGTTGGACAGTTTAGGATGTTTTTCTTTAGAGCGTAGGAGACTGAGGGAGGGGATCCCATAGAAGTGTATAAGATCATGAGAGGCATGGATAGGGTGAATGCGGTCAGTCTTTTTATTCCCAGGATTAGGGAATGGAGAACTAGAGAGCATCAGTTTAAAGTAAGAGAGGAAAGAATACATGGGAACCTGAGGGGCAATTTTTTTACACGGAGGATGGTACGCATATGGAATGAGCTGCCAGCGGAAATGGTTGAGGCGGGTACATTCACAACATTTAAAAGCATTTGGACAAATACATAAATAGGAAACTTTTAGAAGGATATGGGCCAAGCGCAGGGAAATGGACATTTTGGTCAACACAGACCTGTTTGGGTTGAAGGGCCTGTCTCCGTGCTGGAGGACTATATGACTCCACATCCATCTGGTCAAAATCCCTCAGAATCTTACAAGTTTCAATTAAGCTACCTCTTTGATGTCCAATCTCCAGTGGATACAAGCCCAACCTATCTAACCTATTCTCAGAAGACAAATGTCCCATTCCAGATATTAGTCTGATGAACCTTCTCTGAAATACTTTTTGAACGTATTTATGATTGCATGCATCCAGACACATGGAAGGTATTCTGGCACCCTGCTAGTTTGAACGATAAAGAGAGATTCTGAGGGATAACAATGAAATATCATGGATCCAGTCTCTGCTTTTGTAGTCAGTGTTGAAATGTCTCATTTTGTTCAAACGCTGGATAGTGGTGGCCTGAGATTTAGGTGTACTCTAGTGTTAGTGCTTTTAAAGACCGAGACAAAATTTCTGAGCCTTCTCCACTACTGGATTATGGCACAAAGTGGCTATCGAATTTACAGCCGCTACCATAGCAAAGGACAAGCGCATCAGATATCACCACAAGTTCCCCTTCGAGCCACTCATGATCCTGACTTGGAAATATATCACCGTTCCTTCAGTCGCTGGGTCAAAATCCTGGAGCTCCCTCCCTAAATGACATTGAGAGCTTTCCTGCACCAAATGAACTGCAGCGATTCAAGAAGACGGCTCACCATCACCTTCGCGTGGCATTAGCTATGGGCAATCAATGCTGACCCAGTGAGTGAAGACCACAAGCAAATTAAAAATAAACACCCACTTTTCAGTTTTCATTATTATTGACAGCTTGCTAGCCTGGACTGCTTCATTGTTACGAGAGTAGTGATGGAACTGAATACCATGAAATCACTTATGAAACACCCAGTTCCAGATCTTATGATTGGGAAAAGGACACTGATAAAGCATTTGAAATGGTTAGGCCAGGACTCAATTTCATGAATTCTCCAATGCTGTTAATTGATTACGTTGCTTTGCACTACCTTATGCAAGTAGCAATTACTCAGATATGGATCTTCAGATTATTGGCAGGTTAGTTGACTCTGGAGCGTCACATCAATCCACATACATGCCAAGTTTCAACACGTTTGTGCAAAACAGTCTACTTACCTACAAGTAGAACTTTAATCTGATCAAGAACAAATTAGGTGAGACCACACAATTTTGTCCAAGAATTCTAAGCTAGTTCAGGAGACACGGAACTTGTGTATGTTATAAAGAACTTCCTGGAAATTATGTGATGTTTATGTGTATTCTCCACCAACAACAACTTGTATTTACGTAGCACCTTTAACAATGTTGTCATCAAACAAAATTTGACACACAGTGGCATTAAGTCAGCGATCAAGATCTTGACTGAGTTCGGTTTTTAAGGAGTGCCACAAAGGACGAGTGAGAGTTAGAGAGTCAGAGAGATATCAGTATGGCTTTTCAAACTTTGAGGGCAGGCAGGCAGCAGAAGGCATAGGTGCCAATTGTGCAGTGATGAAAACTGAAAGGATGCCTAAGAGCTTGAAATTGAAGAATTAAAAGTTTTGAAGCTTTGTATGTATGGAAAATGGAGATGGGGAGCTTGACTCCAATTGGAATCTCCCATGAACAGCTGAGTTGAGATTGGACATTTATCAGGTTACAAATAAAGCAATGTGTTATCTTGACAGCAGGGAATGAAAACTCAGGACTTTTGTAAACATTATGATTGACAGCCAATCGATAAATGGTGCAAAGATACAGTCATGCTGGAAATACTGATCCATTGCATCAGCTATGGCTATGAAGACCAGGTTTCATTCATTCTAGTAAAAGCAAAGTACTGTGGAAGCTGGAGATTTGAAACAACAACGGAATGTACCAGTGACATTCAGCAGGTCAGACAACATCTGTGAAGAGACAGAAACAGAATTAATGTTTTGAGTCCAATTTGAAACCTCTTTGAAATTCAACGATGTGTTTGACGAAATCATATTGGAGTCTGTAGTGATTGGAACGAGGTTAGCTAGGTGGATTTCGTTGAATATGAACTCCCTGATTGGGGCTGTTAACCCAGACCAATCAGGGAGCCCTGGCTGACAGATATAAACTGGGGCTTCAGAAGGGCTCCTAATTTTAGAGGCTGGCTCTAAGCTAGCTGGTTAGGGTCCATGTACTGTGTATGTGCAAATAGAGGGTGACTTGATGACAGGGTACTGGTCTCCATGCAGCTATTTCAGGCTCAAAATTTTAAATCTGATTCCATCTCTTCACAGGTGTTGTTTGAGCTGCAGAACTTCTCTGGTACTTTATAGATAACACAGTGTGGAGCTGGAGGAACGCAGCAGGCCAGGCAGCATCAG